TACGCCCCGTAATCACCCAGCGAGATGTTATATCACGACAGAACGGAAAAAGACCACTGCCCGACTGAGGAATTGAACCCCAGACCTTCCGATTACCGGTCGGACGTACTGCCATTACACTACCGGGGTAAATATTATCATTAAGGTTTACCAGCATTGCTAACATTGAGCGTTTAGTGTAACTACTACTTGTTTCGTATGACATCTTAACCAATACCATTGTTGCTTTAGTTAATGAATTATTCAACTAAATTTAACGACCTTCAAATATTGAATGATACGTTACCCGTCCACTTGCAACGGCGATATTATCTTGTCATTCGTATTTTGAGTATATACGCACTATGCCTTGTTATTACTGGCACTGTTGGAAACGTGTTAACAATTACTGTTTTGACACGGCGTAATTTATGGCGTTATGTTACAATGCGTTACTTGACTGTTGTCAGTTTGGCTGATATCATATCATTATATGGTTGGAATTTAAACAATTTTTATAAATTTACACTGAATCAACAGCATAGTAATTTAGAAGATCTATCACTTATTCATTGTCGACTTGTTTCGTATATGTCATTCGTTGGCTTACAATTATCGTCATGGTGTTTAACAGCTGTCAGTCTCGATCGTAGTCTAAGCTTGTATTCTCTATCATGGAAACAAAAATGGGGTAAATTATCACGTACAGTAGATAATATTTCTATTTTGACTTGTGCGTGTCTCCTACTCAATTGTCATATTCTATTTTTGAATGGATATCGAGATGATGATGACCGTCGAACAACAAGATGTTATGCGACAAAAACGAATGCGCATTATATTTTTCCACAATGGGAACGTGTTCATCTTGTTATGTATAATCTTTGCCCATTTTGCATTATGCTGATATCTAATACGTATATTATTCATGTAACCACTATTCAACGAGTACAACAAATAAAAACACAACGTTCACGTTGGAGTATCAAACGCCGTCGACAGCTGACGTGCATGTTAATGTTGGTCACTTTTGCCTTTATCGTATTGACACTGCCATCGTGTATTTATTTCGTATTTTTTCGTCATCATATGATCCGGGATACAAGTTCATCACGCTTATACCGCAGCATGATTCAAATCATTTTAAACAGCATTCAGTTCACATCACATTCCATCAATTTTTTCTTATACTGCTTTAGTTCAACTAATTTTCGAGATGAATTTCGATCATTACTCACCAAAATTTGTCCGATAGTCTACTGTTCAGTAAAACGTAAACCTTCATTATTTGCAGTCACTAAAAAACATCAAGAGCGCCATAGTCGTCATGCAAAACAACAAAATGAAAGAGAATCGACATTAGAACATCAACATACAGGTGTCACGGTTCGTTTCAAAGATTTGCAAATAACCGGCCATGATGGAAGTGATTTAACTTGATGTGCCTATTTTCTTTCTATCGAATGAAAATGAAGATAAATAACATCAGACTTTTTCTTTTGGCTTAACCTCTCATAAGGATTTTTTGTGTAAATTACTCTTGATTCACAAGCCACCAAGAATCTCTCTTTGATCTAAAACATTCTTAAACTAAGGAATTATTAAAAAGCTAAAAATGTTTTAGAGCGCTCTCTTTTCTGTTTCAAAATTTCTTATTATTTTTCATGGTGGTAAGGTATGTACTCTAGTGTAGGAGAGTGTGTGTACAAATAGTATAAAGATTAATGAGCCATCAATTAGAAATTTCACTGGAAAAGACGAGCAAGAAACAACTGATGGACCAGAAAATGCATACAATACAGTGAAAGGAAAGATTTAATCATTCATGGCATTCCGCAGGTTGAGAATGAGGACACAATGAATGTTGTTATTGATTTGGCTAGCTCACTTGAGATCAACATTACAACGAACTCTTTAAAAGAACAAAAAATTATCGCTTATTGTTGGATTTAATAGTTATACCGACCGTTAATCAATGTATTCTCAGCGAAAACAACTTTCTGATAATCAAAATCAGCTGCAAATATTCATTAACGAACCTTTAACGTCGTATAATAACGATATTTATCTATACGCTCTCCAAAAATTTAATAAAAAAACGTATATTTACTCGAAATGGATATGTTTATTTATACGAATCAAAAGGTAAATACAACTTTCATATCCATCTTCCTGTGTGATTGTGCATGTTTTTTTAACTTCTTTCACCCTATCATATGCATTTTTGAAATTACGTGATATTATGCATGTTCTTTTCTTCTTTTTCTTCATGTGTGACTGTGCAATCCTGGATAGAATCAAGATTTTCTTCTACCATGAGTGTGAAGAAAAAAAGAACGATACTTGACATCATCTCCCATATGGATAGAAATCGTCGTCGTGCTGGTTGTGCTGCTTATTTTCTGAACGATATCTACCTCCCGTTCGTCTAACTCAATATGAGGATCTATTGTTTGACATTTTGATTATACATCTCATACTTTCCGTATGTGATCATGTTCCTGTGTTTACTTGTTACAGAATGCAATCTACTAGTACACTAATGTTGCTAGACCATGTAGAGCATATTCTTATTGGACATTGAATTCGAAATATAGATCGGACTATATTCTTTTCGTTGGTGACTTTAACACTCATTATCAACCATGGAGTAAAACTGATGTGTCTTCGACAAAAGCAGGTCTTCAATTAAGCAATTTCTCGATTTCTCGTGATCTGTATCATATGGTGTATGGTGTCACCAGGCCCCAATCTAGTCATTCCTAATAGTTTAAGTCTCGTTGAGACCTGTTATATTCCACTGGCGCTGGATAGTTGTGACCATAGTTTCATCGAATTCACACTTAATGTAAATCAGAAACATAAAAGTTGTATTGAACCAGTAATCCATGATTATAAACTTCCTTACTAGACAAAAATAAATGATAAATACGGAAGCGCCCCTATCGAATACGGAAACGTTCACGAAACTATAATAATGTGAGTGAGAAATCAGCGGCATTGAAACAGATCTTTTCAGAACACGTAAAGCTTTCTATTTCGCATAAAAAACTTCTCCTACAGCGTAGAGCTAAAAACCTGTTTAAAAAGAACCAACCTCTATCCATATTTCAGTCCGGTTTCACTGTGTAACATAGTACAACCAACCTTTCATTTGATTTTGTAAATAAAATTAATATCGGAAAGAGCGAAGATTGAATAGTTAGGACTGTAATGTTCGATTTCAAGACTCTAAAGGTGTACCACAAGGGTCAGCATTTGGTCCACTTCTTTTTCTAGTATATGTTCGTTTCTTTGCAGACTATGTAATATTGATTAATCACCATCCCGACCTGCTACGAATGATCTGAATCATGATCTGTGTATGCGAGTCCATATGTGATATATCACATGGCATAGTCCGCCGAATCCAGTCAAAAGTGAAACAATCACTTTCTTCTCTTGCTGGCGTCGTAAATAAGCATTAACTCTACCACCCTTGCTGTTGAGTGGAAATGTGATCACTGAGCATGTTAAGGTCAAGTATTTAGGTCTATATTTTGCTTTTGATCTGACTTGAACCTCTCACATTAAGAAGATATGTGTAAAAACTAGTTTGACAGTCGGATTAATGAAATATCATAAATATTTGCAGGGAAAAATAACGCTCGAAGCAATATACAAAGCTTTTATTTTAACGACGTTTAACTATGAGAGCGTTGTGTTGTCTATAACAACTGATACAAATATTAAAAAGTTGAGTTCGGCTTAATATCAAGCAGCACTAACAGTGTTAGGTGTCATGGTCTAGCCCCAAGTTATTTATGTGAACGTCTACGCTTATATACTCAAAATACTTGTCACAATTTGAGAAGTATACACAAAGATGTACTGAAGCAGTTAAAACAAACAGTTTTACTATCACGGCGAACGAATGGAATGAGGTAACAGATGAGTCCTAGATATCATACGGTTAAAGCTCTGAACTTGAGGGAAATGATGTATAACTGTTTGATGAGTAAATACACAATCATTCCGTTCCCGAAGCAATTAAAAGTTTTTAAACCATATAGCTGAAATACGATTCCTGAGAATAAAATAAAATTTTTCTCAACTAAATTATTATCAGTATAAACGGAATAGTATTTCCTTGCAATTGTGTTCATTTGGGAATGGGGCTGAAACAATTACGCAATTTCTCTTATCTTGACATTTAAATAAGAGGCATCGAAGAATCTTTTTCCGAAACTCAAATTCTTCAAACAGTGAATGTACTATTATTAAATGAGTTGAATGATGACCCACAGGCATGGACACCTATACTTAATAATGCAAATCTCTTTATCGAAAAAACTAAGTAATAATGAATGAAGGTCAAGCCAGTATCGTTCTGTTGTTCTTGTTTTGACTCCAAGCATTGTACAGCCATACACTCGCTTTCTGAGTTATTTTCTGTTATGCTGTAGTCATTAGTTATCTCTTACATTGTTCTTCATATATATTAGTATCTGTTTCTTTTATATATCATAGCAATACATCTAGTGCTGTAGTAATTCGTTCTATTGTGCTCAATTTTTTCTTACGGTTGAAATGTTTGACAAGAAGAAGGGACGAAACTAATCAATAACAAACATGGCTCGTTACATGTGTACATTAAAAATATGGTACAACATCAGCGTATGTTTTCTTTAACTGATGTGATGTGATTCTTCTATTGGGTCTCGCTGTTATCGTCGATGGTTTAGTTTATAAAAACTGGAAACAACTTAAATAATTTAATGCGGCCGCTAATTTATCAAAACAATCATCAACGGTAGTTCGTCTATCTATGTCACCACATCATCATCTACAATCAATTAATCATTCTGCTCTTGTTGTTCATGCATTAACACCACTCACTCATCAATCCACGCCAATCGTCACTTCTTCGGTGTATGGTGATTTGTTAATGCAACTGAATGAACTGAAAAGGATTTAAACTTTCTAAATCTGCACATTTTCTCCTATTCTTCCTACTAAATATTTTTTATTGTTTATTCGTCTCTAGCTTGCATAATGGAATCAATAAACAGATTATACCAACATTCATCAATTCAGGAATTCGGCTTGTCCAAACGTAACGCTGTTACACATTTTTTTTGTAAAGTGTTGCGTTCTTGTAATTCGGTGTAGATTTGTCTGAATCGATTCTTTTAACTTCGAAAGAGACGTTTCTAACACTTTTAGCATTAAAGTTCGCGTTTTGCACCTAGATCGACCTCTTAGATCTCTGTCAGACTCAAATTTTCCTACTGCAGCAAGCTATAATTCTACTATAAGTTCGACAGATATTCGGAGACTCTTAGCCACTAGAATCTGAGTGCATGCTATCTCAAACACTAGTGTTTCTCCAGCTCGGAACGAAGATCCGACCTCCTTTGAGCTGGGTAGTTTTCAAAAGATCTTTTTCGGATGTTCATAACTAATAAACTTTTTTCCTACTTTTTTTTTCGTTGTTTTAGCCTAAATCAACAAAACCCTGGCTAGGGGAACATTTTTCTGCCTTTTATCCGCTGCCTAAACACACATATGCAGAGAAAAATAAAGTCTAATAAAAAGTACTAACAACTGTAAATGTCTACTGTCAATATTTAATAGTTTTTTTTCGAAGACACGTAGAATAATAACGACATTCGAATGTATGTTTATCAACTACTTTTACTAAATGGGTTTTTAGTGTTTCTGAAACAGGTTTTGCCGCTCTGAAAAGATTTTCAAGTTTAGTTTTCGAGTTATCAATGTCAGTTTTCGTAATTTCAATCAGAATTACTTAGTTTTTTTCTTTGCAAGTTCAATAAAATCTTCAGCTGATCGACAAACTTCTCCTGCCGAGCATACAAGACGTTTCACAACACCCCCAATTCCATCGACGGCACCTTTTCCATGAGAAGTTGCAAAAAAGTGCCAACTCAAATTAATTTTATGTTCATTAGCAATTTGTATTAAATTACGAAAATGAAAACGTTGTTTAAACTGTACAGCAGCATCGTCCGAAAAACAATTTATTCCTTTAACATTTGGAAGAACTGTTTTAATATGATTTAAAATGATTTCCAAACGAGAATCGACAACAAACTTATCATGTGCTACATCCAACGATGGTAGAGCAAACGAAAAATTTTCATTTTTGGACCAGACAAAAGCAGTAAATATACTCAACGGTTTTGTGTTCCAGTGAGCCTTCTGGATCTCGTCTTGTTCTTTCATACCGAAATTCTCCGCAAAATCAACTTGCAATACGATCTTTTCATTACTAGCTTCTGACTTTAATTTTTCAAAATACTTAGACTGTTCTCATGTAATCTACACATGAAACAAAAAATATTCAACTTTGAACTTCAATAACTGAGCTGCTTCATTAATACTTCCTGAAAACTCCTTCTTTTCTGCACGACCATTTTCATTCGTCCATTGTGACCAAGAAATTTTAGCCTTACCATTCAAACTTTTTCCGAAAATTTTCCTTTAAAGAAATGTTCACAAAGTGGACAACAACTGAACGTGCATTCCTGGTTAGTAGCATTACAAACTGAACTTTCAGTAAATGTTTGCAAGGACGAACAAGATTTTCCATCAACGTATTTATCCATAGATTTCAAAATTAAACAAATATTCTCAATTTCATTTCTTTAGCGTCGTCATTTGTCCTATAATCCTTAACGTTAATTTATCTCTTACGTTAAGAATCTCACATTTCGTTTAGACGTTAAGCTGCCATTTTGTTTTTACCGTTTCTTACGTAACATTTTCCTTTTCTTTCCTTTCGTTTAGTTATCAAGTAGGTGAGCTCTAAATTCAGACGTAAGGCACAGAACAGGTCACATTATATTCGAATATAGTTTAATGCCATACACTGAATAAACGACTATAGCGATACCGTAATTTTCATTCTTTTCTTTCCTTTGACTGTCTATCAATCAATACTAACGTCTAACGACTACACGACGGCCCATCACTAATTCTCATGACACAAACACAAACAATTCTTATGTCCTAAAGCGGCTTTTGGAACAACACACGGGGGCCTCAATTCAACAAACAACTTAAATTAACATTTTTATTCTTCTCTTTAAACAATTCATAATTTTCACGTAAATTCTTAAAAAATTTCCGTTTCTGATAAGTTACTTTACTTCCATCATCCTCTTTAACAACAACTGTGTCCCGTTTGCCTGGTAGTTGATATGAAATGTTGTCTTGTGAGTAGAAATTATGAACGTCATTTTTTAGTTTGTCAGGAAGTTGAATTGTGGTACGCTGATGTGTAGATTTAGGAATTGGATTAAACTTTTGAGCACCATGTTGAACGCTAACTTTTTGCTTTTTACACATTTTAGAAGTGAAGAATTAACTTTTTTCAATGACTTACCAAATGATTGACGACTTTTAAATGAACTTGGAGAAGATTTATTAATTAAACGTTTTATTTTATTTTCTAGAAATTTTTTGTTGACGAATTTCGGTTTTGGTACGAAATTCCGCTAAACCTGCGCCTATTAATTTTGTTTTTATTGAGTTATTACGAACACGAGCTTTTGCCTTCGCTGCTTCATATTTAACTTTATTTTTTTAATTTTCTCTCGATACTTTTTCATTCTTTCCGCATTACTCTCAGCCCTGCCAAAACCACGGTAATAAACAAAAATAAGTAGGGTGCAGGTAATCCAAACTTTCAGTAAAATTTTTTTTCGACTTTTTTTTACATCATTTGATAGAGCTTGAGCTGCTGATCACGAAAAACTACTTTTTAGCCTTAGCAAATGCTTCTCTCTGGTCGAAAAATACGAAATACTGGAAAGATGTCGTTTTTAGAGAAAATGGCACCTTTCCTCGAAATGTCCTAAATTTTCTATTTTGCTCTTTTTCTGCCTTTTCTTTCCTATGTCAGCATGTAAAACTGAGTAGAAAAAAGTTGTTAAATTGACTCCAGATCCAAAACTCTATTGGTGGTGGCGCTTCGAATCTCGTCGGGTCCACTAACTATAGGTCGATTTTGTAAACCTCTGGAAGTCCCTTCATGGGAAAAGCATAGTTTTCTGATATTAATCGATATTTTGTGATCTTTCTTTAAGATAACTTGTTCTATAATAAAGTGCGTTAGCTTATTATGCCTAGACCGAAGAGAAGCAAAAGTAAAGTGCAAAGTGCGTCAGCTCATCGCTGGGTTAGTGTACAGTTATCCTCTTCGAGCGAGTCGTCAAATGACGAATATAGTGTGGATATTGATGATCAAGAATTATCGTTCAATGAAAATTCTTTTCATTGTATTGACCGATATTGGTGATCTTGCAATTGAAGGTCTTTGGTGCAATCAAAAGGCATTTGTTCGTTCACGTACAGATCAAAGTTTTGAAAAAATGATAAAATTAATAGCTCAGATTCTCGTACACATTTTGTCCAACTACAAATTGCATTAAAATTATTCCGCCGTTTTTGGCGTTCAATTGA